ATTCCTCACAGCTAAAAGAGCCCCTTGGTTTTATGTTTTTCCTGTTGTTGTTCTTTCGTAGGTCTACAGTGTGAAGTATGAGATTTGTTAATGGCTTTTCGTGGAGAAATGCTCTTGTGTCATATATCTTTCTCGCTTTGCTCTTTCCTCCACGAGACAGCAAAAACCCTGTCGGCAGTGACAGAATTATCCATGCGTTTGCTTTGCATTGTGTGTGTATCATTGAAGTGTTAAGTAAATAACTGTTTTGCAATGAAAGCACAGATGGTGTTACCACACAACACACACACACAACAACACACACACACACACACACACACACACACACACACACACACACACGTTCAATCTCTTGAATGAAATTATGTTGAGTCGCACATTTTTTTTCCAGTTGCACTGCACACTTCAGCGGTTTCCCTTTTGACATCTTTCCAATCTTTTTCTTTTCTTCTGTCCGTCTTGTTTTCTTGCCTCCAGTGGAGAAATGTATGAGCTCCATGCAGATGGGAACCCAGATGGTGAAGCTCCGTGGCGGCTCCAAGGGACTGGTGCGGTTCTTCTATCTGGACGAACACAAGTCCTGCATCCGCTGGAGGCCTTCCCGCAAGAATGAAAAGGCCAAGAGTGAGTGTCTTCTTCTTCCTTCTTACAGTCACAAGGGAACAGTATTTCAAATCAAATACTCTAGTTCAATGTATTCATAGTTCCAAATGTATGGGAAGCATTTGTGCTATATTTCATGAGACAGGCAAGGGCTCGTTGAATGTTACCAGGCATAACATAAGCATATTTTTACTCTGAATCTCCATATGTCATCCTTCCAAGAGGCTCAGCCTAGTGTGACTTTGACAATTCAATTTGTAAGAAAGACGATGGTCACAGCTTCTTTTGTAAACAGAAACTGTTAGTGCACCAGCTGCTGTTAACCAGACTAGTGCATTTCACTTTAATGACCTTATCCAACTGGTATTGATTAAACAAGTCACATGACTTGGTTAAGTTGGGACATAATGAGTAGGACTGAGAGAAAATATTGAGGGTATTGTAACGCTTTGTTTTGTGCTGTTTTATTGATTCTTAAAAATATTGCCAATTTTTGTGTTTAAATCTGTGTTTTTAGATAGTAATACAGATCCCACTATTCTGATGGCAAACAATGTTCCTTTGCATTAGAACATTATGGGATGGTAATGATTCTTCCAGGTATTAGGTAGGACCTCAGGTGTTACCAGAAAAACGGAGCTATGGTTTTAGAAAACCTTTTTTAATTGGAAAAAAATGCCTGAAAATATAAAATGATCTTATTTTGTTTTCTTTGGAAAATGACCAGTATAGACGGGATAATGCCCTTGTTGGTGTCCACTATCAGGAATTACTGTACAACATCCTCCATTACTTCCTGACAACGGACACCTCGTCAGGCATTATCCCTTACATATTGAACCGTGTATCGTGATACATATCCTAGGGCCAGATTCTGCTCAATACACAGCCCTAATAATGAGGGGAGCCACTGTTTAAAACTGAGTTGGACCATAATGCTTGTCAACAGGCGGTGAGTGTTTGTCCCTGACAAAGAGTTCACAAAGAGCTCTCAGGGCCACCGTATTTTTGGATTTTTGCCACCATGTTGTGCCAGTGCCTATCTCTCAGCTTGCCTGTTTATCTGTGTATGTTTGACAGGCTTTTAGTTCTGCTAGATTTAATTCCTCCTTTACGTTCCCCCAGGATTGGAAGTGTTGTTGTTATTTAGAACTGGACATTCATTTGTTTTCTCGACATGGTATATGCAACAAGCAAACAAAACCATTTCCTGCAGTGTTTTAGAATAAAAGAAGGCTAGGGGACTTGTTAGCAGCAGCTCCCAGTACAGCTGGGCGTCTCATGGGGGCTTAGGGGCTCAGTTTCCTGTTGCTCTCCCTCCTCTGTAGCCCTGGATTTAATAAGCTCCTTAAGTCGACTTAATTATTCATCAGCTTTAATCTGGCCAAACAGTGTCTTACACACACGTGCCACTAAATCAAAATGACACACACACACTTCACTGGCAGATCAGAACAGTTGGAGCTTTGTGGTTTTCCTGCGCAGTGGGGGTGCTTTCTTTAAAGACAATGAAAACTAAATGACACAATTTATCCTAAATCGTAAAGCTTTTACGGTTGGATGAGTAAAACCAGGTACTATAAGCTACTTTCACACACCAGAGTGGGGGAAGTGCACACAGAGCATGGCTTCATTTCTCTTAATCCACCCTCCACACACACTTCTAGAAACTCAAGCAGAAATGACACGCTGTTTTCTCTTAGCTCTACATCTCGAGTCGTGCCTTCTATTCACCAGACGCATGCGTGTGCCCATCTTTTAGTCACACCCCAGCTGATACAGCCTCACCTTGTGGGTGTCCCTGCAACCCTCATTTGATATCTTGACCGGTCTCAGTCACTGGAGAGGGATACAAAGGTCTGCTTTAGCCTTTTCTGGCAGCATATTCCCTGGCACTCTGTGTGCTGTTCTATCGCAGAGCAGTCACTGGGACAGACTGGTAGACAGGAAACACTACAGGCTTCGCACACTGACCATGATGCACTGTGTTTCTGGCATCAAATTTGCCCTCCCTGGCTCAAAAATAACCGACAACCCAAAGAGAAATTTACATTTTGACCAATAAACCATCAACAACAACCACAACATAAAAATACAGTTAATTAATTTAGTCAGATATTGTTACATTTTCTCTTAGTTCTAAGATATTTAGTCAACTTCATCCTTCCTGTTGTAGTCAATTTGTGGTAGATGAAAACTGTACTATTTTTAGGTTTGACTAAAATGATTTTAATCTGAAAATACTAAACTATATTGACCTGAAAATATGAGTGTGTGTCTGGTGTTAGAATTTATATATCACAAGGATACAACACAGGTTTGTATATAGAAAATCAGGTTGTAGATAAATGTATGCTACTTGTAAAGACAATACTTAAATAATAAAAACATTAAATAAAAAAGTAATATGCATCTATATAAGTTGTATGTGTTGATGTATATGTTTTGTGTCACATTTTTTTATAAACTCAATTAAATTAATTAAATGACAACCCAATTTAGAAATATAACCTGGCCAGCAAAACCAGCCAATATTGTCTAAGCAGTCAGTCAGAATGGGTTGGTCAGGATGAGTTATGATAAATACGCGCTTGCCAAACCTTTTGCATGACAGGATACTTAGAAAGAAACCGTGTGTCTCAGTGAATTCATGTAAAGATTCAGCAGTTTGTAAATTTTTATAGCTCATACTGTTGACTAGTGCCTGTACAGTTTGTGGATACACACTCACTGACTCACCCTCAATCACCTTGCCTCGAATTGCATTAATGTGTGACATTAGTCACATATTACACCTCTGCTGCTAGCATTCATGACTACTAACACCAGTGGCACATTTGCAGCGAATGATTAAGACAGTTTACAAAAAACAAAATGCATCATCAGACATTCTAGCGATGTACTAAAGGATATACTGCTATGGTCCATGAGCAGGTTCATAAAGCTTACCAACACCTACTTGTCAAAAATAGCAGTACAACAATGACTCAAAGAAGATAAAAAAGAACAGTAGACACACTGGAGAAATTATGCAACAGAGACTGCAGCTGTCAATAAAGAGATTAAAATAATCAGCATGGAGTAATATACATGTAGTGGTTAAAGCTTAAATACACAAAGCCTAAATACACAAATTAATAAATGCAAAAAAAATTAACTTGAGAACCTGTACATTTACATACAGTTACATTCCACCATTTAAAGCTAAGATATGCAAAGCAAATGCAGATCTGGCCACCAGTTTTCACCATCTTGTGTACAAAGATGACAGCTGAGGCTAACGGATTGATTACTTGATTGGCCTGAAAGCAGCATGGATGTATTGAGTCCATGTTCTGGCAGTCTCCTTATTAGATTTGAATATTTCTAGTGTACAGTGGGGAAACAGCAAAGGTTAGACAGTCAACAAAACCACCAACAGGAATCATTCCCTGATGATTGATCAACTGACATAATCATCATCATCCTCCTCAAGCGCTGTTATCAGGTCATCAAATATTCCAGATACTTCTACATAATTTATGAAAGTGCTCCTGCAGTCAGAAAACATATACCCATACAGCATCTCCAGTGGCAGTTTGTGGAGAACAGTGACAGCCACCTGGGAGCACACACAGCACAGCAGCAGCATGTCGAATGTCATGTTGATGGCATTTTGACATCCAGTATATACAACCGCGACAAAGCCGCAGGTTCTATACCGTACAGCCTGTGTGTGTGTGTGTGGTGCCTGTGTGGTGTGTGTGTGTGTGTGTGTGTGTGTGTGTGTGTGTGTGTGTGTGTGTTGTGTGTGTGTGCTGGTGTGTGTGTGTGTGTGTGTGTCCGTGTGTGTGTGTGTGTGTGTGTCCGTGTGTGTGTGTGTGTGTCCGTGTGTGTGTGTGTCCGTCCATGAGTGATATCCCTGCATTATGAATGAGTGTGTATGTAAATAATGTTTCATCCATGTAGTATATTGTATGACTGAAAGACTGGTTATGTCCTCTAGGTATGGATGTTTTTGGGGGAATGAACCTGGTTCTAAACAAGAAACAGAAGTACTTATCATGTGCTCTCTGTCATGGGGAAAACTAATGAATGACTCAAGGCAGTGTCTTCCGGTAAGATGTCATTACCATCTCATGAATGCTGCATCTTAATAAACAGAGCTCTCTGGGCGCTGCTCGTTGAGTATTTTAATCTGCCGAATCATGAAGCCTGAAATCAGACGAAAGAATTTTGCCATTAAAATATTCCTATGCCCACAACAATTAATTCCCTATTTTGCCAGAGGTGGAAATTGTCAAAACCAGCAGAAGACGACTGCAAAAGGATGGATTAGGTTTAATAAACTGAGTTTTCCTCTATTGTCAGCTTTTGACACTACACAAGACCTGGATCCTGGGGATCTACTTACTGCACTGGTGGAAGGAGTATTGAGTAATTATACTTTCGTAAAATAGCAAGTATTACAACCAAAAGTCCTGCATTCAACATTTAGTCAGTACAAAAGTACTCATTTAGGGCTAACAATAATTGTCATTATCGATTAGATGTTTGGTCCATAAAATGTCAGAAAATGTTGATAACTGTTTTCCAAAGCCCAAGGGGACATTCTCTTCTTGTTTTGTCCACAACCCAAAGATATTCAGTTTAATGTGATGGAGGACTCAAGAAACCAGAAAATATTCATATCCAAGAAGATGAAATCAGAAAATTGACATAAAAAAAAAAAAAATGACTCAAAACAATTGCCGATTAATTTAATAGTTGACAACTAACTGTTAGGTGGCAGAAGGGCATTGTCAGAGATTTGTTATGTCATATGAAGCATTACTGTGTAAGCAGCATTTTACTGTACTATACCCATGCATATTATTGGGGTATAAGGGTTGTGTATTGGATAAGAATCTGGCGATACAATACGCATCATGATAAAGGGGTTACAATTCAGTATATTGCGATATACTGTGATATTGTAAACAAGATAAGATATTGTGTTAACTGAGTTAATATCCAACATCATAGCCTCAGTTTAGGTTAACAACACTGCTGTTTAGTGGTTGGGGATTTTAACACAAAAATCAATAGTATTTGTGAGAATCAATACAATATCAGAAAACAAAAGTGTATAGATATTTTCTCACAGCCATAATAATAACCACCACTGACCTCCTGTTTCCTCCAACAGTCTCCATCGACTCCATCCGGGAGGTGTGTGAGGGTAAGCAGTCTGAAATCTTCCAGCGCTATGCAGAGGGCAGCTTTGACCCCAACTGCTGCTTCAGTCTGTACTACGGAGAGCACATGGAGTCCCTGGACCTGGTGTCCGGCACTGGAGAGGAGGCGCGAACCTGGATCACAGGCCTCAAATATCTGATGGCTGGCATCAGTGACGAGGACAGCCTGGCCAAGAGGCAGCGCACCCGAGACCAATATCCTTCAGTTCTATAGTAGTGGGGCCTTGTTTCATAATTGGGCTGGTGATTTAAGGACTAATAACAGCAATCAGAATGTCTTCTAGAGTTTCATGATCAACATATATACTGGGCTAAATGCTATGGAGAGTTTAAGTTACATTTTAAAGCATGACTGGCCGAGTGTTTCTATTACACTGACACTTTTTTTGCTGTGGATATAAACTCTTCACCAACAATACTAACGAATTACTGTCCCGAATCTTCATGCTGACTTTCTTTAACCCACTGTGTCGTCACGTGGTTGAAGCAGACCTTCACTGAAGCTGATAAGAACGGCGATGGCAGCTTGAGCATCAGCGAGGTCCTCCAGCTCCTGCACAAACTCAACGTCAACCTGCCCAGGCAGAAGGTCAAACAGATGTTCAAGGTACAAAAGCAACAAGGGCTGAGCCTAGATACGTGAGCAAACGGAACTTTCAGTGGGCAGTCAGTGGTTGGAAAGCAGCATATAAAAATCCCACCTGTTCACACGCAGTGCTTTTTGACATTTTGCAGCTTTATTGGATATCTAGAGTGAAGAGGCAGAGAGAAGGGGTCATGACATGCAACGAAGTTCACTAACTAGAATCAAACCATCAACGTTGTAGTTTTGCTGCATGTGCAGTAAGTGTTCAACTACCATAGCATTTTTTTCGCGTTCGTTTGCAATTGCAAACCCTGTTACAAAGGCAGACCTGGCACTATGGGCGGACATTTATGTCCCTTCCCTTCCCCTCCAGTTTCTCCTTGATAGTAATTTATATTTTGTAATATGATAAATAGAATTTAGTAGTAGTATTATTATTATTA